TCTCTTTAAAATATCACATCGCATTATAACAATATCGTATTCCTCAAGCAAGTAGACTGAGATATGTTTTGGTAAATACAATTTTTTTTTCCTGTTTTATAATTTTCATTCTGGAAAACTAATTAAAATAATTTTTAAGCAAAATATAAAAAATACCATCGCTCTCTGCCAAGAGCCAACGCATAATACACAGCTCAGCGACAGTTACATTTTCATTCCCCTGCAGTACAAATATCTCAACCGCGCTCCCTCTTCTTCCCTTTCTCTGCTACTGTCCTGTTGTATCCGCCAAGCATCGGTTCCCATTTTTTTTGAATTTTCCTGATTTTTTGTCTGAAAATATCTAAAACACATGGCAGAGGAGGAGAAGAATATCGAAGCTCCGGTGGAGGGACCTCCCGCTCTGGTACCCGTACCCGCAGATATTCCGAAAGATGTGACCGAAGAGAAAGCCGTAATCCCATCTCCTCCTCCCCCCGAAGAAAAGCCCGAGGACTGTCAACCGCCGCATGTAGTTGAAAGTAATTTCCCTCTCTTTTCACTTTTTTTTTTTTTTTTGATGATTTTATTTGGGTCTGTGTTATAAAAGATTTTGGATTGGTTGCAGAGGAGCCGGAGGTGGCTGAGGAAAAAAGCGGCGAGGGTTCTGTGAATCGAGGTAATTTTTGAATTCCCAATGCTTATTTACCTCTTTGAATACAGTAGCGGCTATGAATTTTGTTGAATTTAAAAGTGATTCTCATCTCCAACCAGATGCTGTGCTTGCAAGAGTTGAAACAGAGAAGAGAATTTCACTAATTATAGCATGGGAAGAAAGTGAAAAATCCAAGGCCGAGAACAAGTAAGACCTTTCTTCACTTGGGTTTCTAGTTTAGGTACATGCTTTATTTTTAGAAAAACATGCAATAGAATAAGCTTATGGGTCTCTTGGAGGATGTCTTTTGCATTAGAGATTTCAAGTTTGAATTTTGAATCTGACTTTCGTGTTTGAAATCTAGATTTCAAGTTCAAATCACAAATTTGACAGGAGGGTTATTCTATGTATTTTTAATTTACAGTGCGCTTTTTTTTTTTTTATTGGTAAAGGGAATTTTTAGGGGTGTTGCAGGGGAATTGTTTGGTTCACTCAGGTCTGGCTCTGAGGAAAACATTCATGTCTTTAAGAAATGGTCTAATAAAAAAAATACTTCTGAAAGGTTCCACTTGAGAAAAAATTTTGGTCCATAGCTTTTGCATTAATTTTGGTAGAGAAAGTCATATTTGATTGGCGTAGGTATGACTTTGGCTTTGTAGAAGTTAATTAGGACTTTATGCATGTAAAACTATGCCCACTAACTACTGATTGCAGAGCTCACAAGAAACTTTCTGCTATTGGGGCTTGGGAGAATAGCAAGAAAGCAGCTTTAGAGGCTGAGCTCAAGAAGATTGAGGTAAAAAAATCCGTTTTCCAGGACAACAATCATGAGAATCCAGAAATGAATTATTTGATTAATAAATTCCGTTTGACTTTTGTGTTGAGTAGGAACAATTGGAGAAGAAGAAAGCCGAATATGTGGAGAAAATGAAGAACAAGGCTGCGTTAATTCACAAGGCAGCAGAAGAAAAGAGGGCAATCATTGAAGCGAAGCGTGCGGAAGACCTTCTCAAGGCAGAGGAGGAAGCTGCAAAGTATCGTGACACTGGCACTGTCCCTAAGAAGATATTTGGTTGCTGCTAAAGGCCAATATTTCTTTAGTCTGATTATAACAGATGTTGAATTGTTTGTATATATTCATTGGAGGTCAATTTGTTTATTTACAGTGTTGTCTGGTTTTAATGTTGTGAGAGGAAGTATTTCTCACCAATCATTGTTGAGTGTGCAAATGCATGTAAGTATATGTGTTTATATATATATCAATTGGGGAAAAATTTAGGTGTTGAATTTGTAAGAAACAAGTAATTTGATGTAATGTTGAGAATTACTTAAATACTACAGATTTGTATTGATTTTTATATTCTACCATTTATCTTCTCAAAGATTGGATATAACTGGTGCTCCAGTGCTGTATCAGAAGAACTTATGACTTCAATGGAGATGAAAGAAAACAAGCCAGACTGGTTTAATGCGATCACCTTCCTCGTGGCTCGCATCAGGTTACGGTTGGATGTATTCATCATGTGTTATGAATGATGCTTGAAGCTTATTCGAAGTTTGTGGATGAGGATGTGTGCTGGGAGATGAGGCTTTCATATGCTTCATTATCTTACTTTATTTATCTTGTCGATGCCAAGGAATCTTTTTAAATTCAACTTCAGGATTCCATGGTAATTTGTTGACGTATTGAACAAACTAACAGGTCATCTTCTTCGTGATTCCATTCCCCTATCTTCAACAAAAAGAGATTGAGAAGAAATGGTATGGAAAGGTCCCCATTGGACAAAATGACAAGCAAAAATATCTCAGAAATGGCAAAGAGAGCGACAATACCTTGGACATTTCTGGGAACCTTGAACATTGCAGGCCCAAGGACCTACAACTTGTGAAATTGTCCAGCGTCATATGGCACAAGGATGTCGATAAAGGGGTGAAAGCGACCTCCTTTAATGTCGTGTTGGTAAATCATAGTAAAATTACAACATACAGTCAAAGAGAGAATTGTATCTTGATAATTAACATAGCTAAATTTTCAAAGAAGTACCCCTTGTGCAGGTGCACACTGCACAGGTACTAGAATGAAGAAAATGAAAGTTTTTCATATTACAAACAAACAAGGAGAATTCATTCTCAAAGAGATCTACAAATGAGCCCTGCCACTTTCGTAGATGACCATTTGCCTTGATCACCATTCCTTCAAGTATCCTTCTAGAAGTTGTTGCTTAGTGCTTAAGTTCAGGAACAAGAGAAATGAAATGTCCATGCAACATTTTTTTCTCTCTGGTGCAGAAATATTTGAGCTAGCTGCAATTAACTTGCAGTCGGTTTCCTCTTCAACATTTTTCATCTCCTGTGCTGAAAATTTCTTCAATATGACCAGGAATCACACTTTATCTTCGATGTGGGATTCAGGGGGGGGGTGACAAATTTGCTTTACCTTCTATATTCTTATTCAATTCCTAGCAATTTTAGAATCACCAATGATAACAAATTACTTATCTAACAAGGATCAGGGTTGGAGGTACCTGTTTTCTTATATACATTCAAGACCATTCTAAGACCAAATTGCGTAGATGACACAGAGGCGAATAAAAAAATAATATGTTAGGTAGAATGTAAATTAATGGAAGAAAGGCCTAATTCATTGACTATTATAACCTATAGGAGAGGAGAAACAGAACCTCTCTAGGCCTAAAGCATATATCACAAAGGATTAAATGTGAGGTAGGTTAAGCTTCGTTCCTTCCTCAAACTTACGCCTGGCAGCTGACATTGCTGCTGCCATTTTTATTTTCTTTTTAAGCTTTGAATTAAAAAGATATAGAATACACCACTTGGATGAAATGTTAGAATGATAACCAAATAAATCTATACAGATGTTGCTGGACTTACAGGGCAAAGGACAGATAGTTTTTCAAGGGAATTTGGTGAAATTCTTTCAAAAGTTTAAACAAATAACATTTAATGATATGAACATGAATGATGAGGGTGCTCCAAGACAGCTATGTGGAAGAATAGCCACTAATTAAACTAAGTTATCTTTTGCCACTAAGAAAATAAGTAAGTAATCTTTTTCAGATTACTGATAATCTTTTCCTTGGATATTGCCTAGGAAACATGCCTTCACATGTACATTACATCATTATTCATGCCAAAATCAATGTATATTTCATCCCCAGAAAGAGAACTCGCAAATCCATTATCTGAAATCTGGTCTTCAAATTTAAACTGTGAGCTAAACATATCATTGAATGATTCATTTAGTCCACCGTGAATTTCACCACTAAATGCTGCCTCATTTAGTAGGTATCCATGCGTCAAAGACTCTTGAAAGCTTGAATTGTGATCAAAACAATGTGAGGAAGGCTCCAACTTACATGAATTTGCAATGCTCTCACCTTGAACATGATCTGCTGACAGCCATTCTGCAAAGAAGAGCTTTGGCAAGGAGCTTCTCTGAGGCTCTTTAGGGAATTTGGCAATCTCTGTAACAGATTGATCAGTATCTGTTGAGGGCTTTTCAGCAAGTTGCAATGATTCATAACCTGGTAGTTGGCTTGTTGGATTCTGGGGAGAAGGGGTGGATTCTGTATTATCTGAGCTTGAAGTGGTACACTGAGTTTTGGTATGAGCTTCTGATTCTTCAACTTTGGCTACTTTCTTCTTCAGATAAGAATGCCAATAATTCTTTATTTCATTATCTGTTCTTCCGGGCAGACGCTGTGCAATCTGAGACCACCTATTCATAAATATAGAAAAATAAGAAGAATCAGCATTTCTATTTTTCTTTGATAAAATGTGTATCCAAACTCTTGGTCCGACAAGTCCCACTATTTTGTTTTCACATAAATATAGAAAAAATGATTTTTTATGCTTACTTGTTGCCTAACATATGATGAAAGGTCAGGATAGTTTCCTCTTCTTGTGCTGAAAACATCCCTCTTTTTAATCCTGGCCTCAAGTAATTAATCCACCTCAATCTGCAGCTCTTCCCATTCCTTTGCAATCCTGCATGTGGTGAGAAGGGAAACAAAAAACTATTGAGGCTATTTTAGTAATTTTCCTGTGGAATGGTTTCATTATTTTATTTTATTTTATGCATTTTAATAAACATTAATCAGTCACTTTCATATGTAACATCTCAAGATTTTTTTTCCAGAATTCCTTTCATGGTGGGGTTGAATTGAAGCCAAACTAATAATTCAAATAAAAACTGGGTGTTCTGGTGAGGCGGGCAGCCAATGTATAAAATTCAAGATAGTCTAAGCATGTGGAGATGAAAAATCAACAACATTAAAGCAATTTCACATTGTGAGACATAATTTAGTAATATCTGTAAAAACACAAAAGTAAAAACAATGACTCAAATTGTTTGAAAACATAGCATTTTCTCACACTTAAGCTGCTACATTACTAATTCCTTAAAAAAAAAAAAAAAAACTGCTACATTAGGTTTCATCTTCCCAAAGCAAAGTTGACCCAAATGCCTCCTTGACACAAGTCATTAATCAGAGTTTTTATAAGTACTTGAAACCCAAATGATAGTAAAAATCTACTTTTGTGTAAGTGAGTTTTTATTTATTAATTTTAAAATCTCGATTTAAAGTTTAAGATTTAAAATTTGAATTGTTGCAATAGTTAAAATTTAACATTTTTTCTTTGTTCATAAAAAATTGAACAAATTTGTAAAAGGGTATTAGCACTTGGCCTTCTAGCCCCAATTGATTGAAGGTTCACCTTTCTTTGGAGAACTAAGTTGGTGCTGAGTTTAATTCCCCCAATTTTTAATGGTTGAAAAAAAAAAAAACAGTGAAAAACGGTATTCAAAATCAAAATGCAGTTTCATAGGAACAAATTTTGTTTATTCAACCCATTTTGTTTTTATTTTATGGCGAAAGGGCCTTAAAGCATGTGTTGTAAAAGGAAAACAGAGAAGAAGAGAAATGAACAGACCTGCATTAATTGGAACAGAACTCCAGCAGCCATGGCCATGTTCGAGGACATAGTTCCTGAGCTTCTGGTCTTCTTCAGGGGACCATAAGCCTTTTCTATGCTTAGGCCTTGGCTTCTCAGATGGCTTGCAACCCATTTTCCCCTGTGGATTGATTCTGCTTTTAGCTTGTGACAGCTTCAAACCTGTTACTTAGACAGAGAGACAGAGAGACAGAGAGTCTATGCAATGAGGTAATGGAGAGGGGACTCAGGGGAGAAAAATAAATAGCTGATCCAATGGTTTGCATTTAATATAGAGGGGAGATTAGTTGGAAGTATGATAATTTATTTAAAAAAGAAAAGAAAAACCAATCAAGCAGGCATCTTGACCGAAAAATAAAAATAAAATAAAATCGAGGAGGCATCAGCTGGTATCTTCGTCCAGGGAATACTACCTTCTCTTTATCTTTTTCTTTATCTTTTTCTTTACAATGTTGCATTTGTACTGCAATTAGCTTTCATTTCAGAGGTCTTTAATTGATTAATAGAAAACGTCATAGTTAGGATATTATGTTAAATTGTAAAACTTATAATAATAATAATAATAATGTGATATTAAATAAATAAAAACACATGGTATCAAATATGATTTTATAAATAAATACAATTAATTAAATAATAACAAATTATAATTGTAAAGTTACAATATCATAAGTATTATAATTATATTATTTTTGTTAATTAATTAAGATTAAACTCAATTAATAAGAAATTAATTACCAAGACAACTTGGGTTAAATTCTAATTAATTTTGTGATAAGACTGTTTCCATTGGTATTAAAGCAATTCATCTTGACAAATGTGCACCTATGTAATCATGCTTGATAAAGATATGTGAAGCATAAAAGCGGTAATGTCTAGAATCTCATTACGAAATAGGTATGTAATTGACGCTAATATATGTGTCACTACCAATTATAGAGAGTGAATTTTTTGAGGGAGTAATATTCTAATATAAGGGTTCCTCAAATTAGATGCATGAAATTAATTTGACTTTTAGTCAATAATTCTCTGTTATCATTTCATTACATTTTGTCTTTGGCATAATTCTTTTTTTTTTTTTTTTAATGTTCGACATAATGTGGTTTTTATTGCATAAAAATTTAAAAGAAATCATGGATAAAAGACTATGAAAGTATTAACATATTAGAGAAATGATGCAAGTTGCTGATGTCAGATTCCCTGCCCAACCTAACGAATCATTAGATGAAATTTTCTATTTTTATTTTTTCTCCTGGTTGATTGAAAAACACACTGAATCCTTGTTCGAATAAAGGTTTTTCTTTTTTAACACAAGTAATTTGTGACAAAATTACATGGTTAAAAATTTTGATTTTAATTAAAGGATTATCTAACCCGTGTAATGTGTAGTAATTATATATTTTTTAATTTATTATGGTAGTATAGGAAAATACAAAAATTAATTTTAATTTTAATACAAATGACACATATGCAATCTTAATTAGAAGATTTATGAAATTAAATTAAATTTTTATTTTTTTTCATGATAATTAATTAAAAAATATAATTAATGCACTCTTAATATATACTTTTAGAACACAAATTTAAAAAAAAATTTCATTAAAAATCACAATATATAAAACTTTTACGGGTAGTCCCAATAATAAATTCTGACTTATTGAATAAAGCATGTAAAAGCAGTTTCTATACAGATTCACTAGAAATAAATTGGTGTGAACCACGCATTAGAGGGTTGTTAGTTGTTAAGGTTTGAGATAGAACACTGCCGTGCTAAAATTCCCCTTTCTCCTCCCCAAATTGTAACTGTTCAACAAGAAAAAGAAAAGGGCAAATTAGTGTCGGTGATGGCTTAATTATCTTTGCATTAACAATTTGAACATGATTACTAGAGGAAGTGACTAGCATTGTTTTAGTGTTACTTCTTTTATAATCTTATTCTCTTATTGGATAATGATTCGACTAATAATGTAATGTTAAAACAATTAAGTAAACTACTAATAATGTAATGTTAAAAGTTAAAACAATTAAGTAAACTACTAAGGCCACAAATAGCAGCCATGACCTTGGATTTTGCTTCTTTTAACAGTTTTGTTATTATGAGGTCTTCTTCCACCTAAATTTATATATATTATTGCCCCAAATTGGTGTTAGCATATGTTAGTTTATTTT